TTCTCTTATTATTTAATAATTTAAAGAAGATAGTGAGGAAAGGCAAAAGATTAGAAAGTAAGAACAGTTAAATTCTAACCTTTGCATTTAAGATCTTCAGGTAACTTACTATTTCTGTATTTCTTAACTTTTGTCCTTTGGAAGCAAGGCAATAATTAGGAATAAGAATTTTTTAAAAAGCTAAAGCGTTTTCTGTGCTGATTTCAGAGAGCCAGGTTGTTGAAATCAAAAGGAGATAATAAATGTTCTCTTGTTTGGAATAAGCGAAGCTCATTCGAAAGGAATTCCAGATTGCAAGAAGGCCTTGATGGCAGTGAGGAAGTAATTGAGAAATCCAGTCACCCAAGCCATAAGATTTGCTGGTAGACAGAAATTAGAAACATGGGATTATAGGATCACAAGGCAAGATATTCAGAGGTCACAAAGATAGATATGAATGAGAAAATACAAATAAAACATAATGATAAGAAAATTGTTTTTCCAATGAATATTAATTGGTATTTATTGCTACATGAAGATTACATGTTATTAGGATGGTAGCCCAGTCAATCTAGATAGAGATATTATATTTAAGGCAGTCTTCCTTATACTTTCTATACACTGGCTTCATTATGCTAAAGAAGATTTTTCTTGAAGCTTTATGATCTAAAAGGATAAAATTTTAAGCTAGTATAGTGAAGTACATGATATTCGTCTTGGAAGAAAAAACGGAATGTTAAATGGCTGAGTCTAAAACACTCCTGAAAACAATTCATCTTACCTAATGTCTCACTATAAAACTGCTCTCACTTTTTCTGAAATGAAACGAACCAGAAGTGGTGAAAGAAGAGAGACAGTAGCATATTCTCCACCCTTTCCATGAAGTTCATTTTGTGAGTCAGTCTGCCCAGGGCCAGGTGCAGATAGGAAAGAGAAAATGGATGTCGGGTACCATATTTCTCATAGGCATTCCCCATGCTCCACCAGAGGCTATTTATGAGAGGGATTTCCAGCAACTCAGCTATCAGAACTCCACATGAAAATGCAACATGTGTAAATAGCACATCACAGCCCGTTTTTTGCAGTTTCTCCATCAGTGCCTGATTGAAGATTACATTTTCACAACTTGGTTTTTCAAAAGGAAAAAAATAGTTGACAAATTCAGGAAACTACCATAGTCTTTCCTATTGGGAAAAACTGGTGTTTTTGTTAAGTAGCTCCCTAAAGAACTATCCAATGAACTCAATATTTCTTCTTTTGTATATGATACAGTACAAACCTCATAGTTCAGGCCTGAGAAGTCAGGCCTGATCAGTGAGAATTTTAATGGAAGGTCCTAACAGTCACCATGTAACCCCTTTGCAACAGCTCTTCAAAAATTGTCTTCAAGGGGTAGCTAGGTGGTGCAGGGGATAGAGAACCGGCCCTGACATCAGGAGGAGCTGAGTACAAATCCAGCCTCAGACCAAACATTTGACAGGTACTAGCTGTGCGACCCTGGGCAAGTCATTTATCCCCTGCTACCAAAAAGGAAAAAAAAGAAGTTAATGGCAGTAATTACTTTAGGGGAAGCTAGGTTGTGCAGTGGATAGAACGCCAGCCCTGGATTCAGGAGGACCTGAGTTCAAATCCAGCCTCAGACACATAACACTAATTAGCTGTGTAACTCTGGGCAGGTCACTTAACTCCATTGCCTAGCCAAATATAAAAAAAAAATTGTCTTCATATTAACGCAGTGGCTGTATTCCAATGGCAACACCAGGACCTTCCCACAGCATCCCCATTCAAAGCAGCTAAGCTACAGCAGCAGCAGAATAGACACCCACTTTTCAGAAATAAGGCATCTGAGGCCTTCTATCACCCTGCAAGACTTCACATAGGCAAGCCAAGGGACTAGTGGAAGATTAATTTCTAATGGAAATTCTCTCAAATCCTACTTCTAAGCCCAACTTGTTCAGTGTGTTAGCATCTTCCAGTGAACCCTTTTCATCATCAACATATGTTTGGTGAAGGCACAAATTCAGAATATGAAAAGTACTGGCCTTACGTTTCATAAATCTGACAATTAAAACAGAAAGAGCAGACCAAGAAGCACAATAGAGTATATCGCCTATATACGCCTATTTATTTCTTCCTTTGGCAAGGTGGTAGGCTAATCCTAAAATCATTCATTTAGAAGGTAACTGCTGCTAAATATAGAAGTAATAGGGACAGCAGAATATGATTAATATGTCTTCTCTTTTACTTCTTGCAGATTCTCAAAGTAACCCTAATTCATTTTTCAAAGGAGTAGGGTCCCAAAACAATCTTTCAGGTAGCTTCTGGAACAAAAGTTAAGTAATTCGCCCCCAATCAACCTTGACCTTAATGGCTGATGTCTAGCTAATTCAACAACTGCTAGGCATTTCCATCTGATCTAGTAAAAATAACCACGCACTGAATGTGCTCAGGTCAAGGCAAAAGGGAGTTGTCCACAGCATGGAGACTGACAAACAAATAGGTTTATAATCTTATCCAGAACACATATTGCCACAGAAGTGCAAAGAACACTCAAAATGCCCTCTGCCCTCTGTGCTCTGGAACTGGCTCTGACCTAGCTCTTCTCTCACCGAAAAAAACAGACTTTTCCCACTGATCTTCTAAGCTGTCTTTGGCGTTCCTGGATTGAGGAGTCTGGGAGCCGCCACAGCTGCTGGCCAGTCAGTCGTCTGAGGCCTGCTCCAGGTTAGCTGAGGCCTGTGCACCCAGGCCGAACTATGCTCCTCTCCCCACCGGGCAAGATATGCCTTTCTCATCGACCATCCAGGCTGTCTTGGGCTGGAAATTTGTTTTCCTCTGTCTTTTTGTGGGTTCTGCTGCTTTAGCATTTGTTTAGAGCCATTTTTGGTGGGCATTTGGAGGGGCTTGGGGGAGCTCAAGCAAGTCACTGCTTTCACTCCACCATCTTGGCTCTGCCCACCTGAAGATTAATTTCTAAAGTAATTCTCTCCAACCCGATTTCTAGCCCAATTTGTTCAGTCTGTTAGCATTTCTTCCAGTGAACTCTTTTCATCATCAACATATGCTTGGTGAAGGCATAAATTCAGAATATGAAAAGTACTGGCCTTACATTTCATAAATCTGACAATTAAAATAGAAAGAGCAGACCAAGAAGCAGAACAGAGTATATTGCCTATATAAGCCTATTTATTTCTTCCTTTGGCAAGGTGGTAGGCTTATCACAAGGTCACTCATTTAGATAGTAACTGCTGCTAAATGTAGAAGTAATATGGACAGCGGAATATGATTAATATGTCTTCTCTTTTATTTCATGTAGATTCTCAAAGTAATCCTAATCCATTTTTCAAAGGAGTAGGGTGCTAAAACAATCTTTGAGGTAGCTTCTGGAACAAAAGTTAAGTAATTAGCCTCTAATGGACCTTGACCTTAGTAACTAATGTCTGGACTTCTGGATGCCACAATCCAACAACTTCTAGGCATTTCCATTTGATCTAGTAAAAATCGCCATGCACAGAATGTGCTCAGGTCAAGGTAAAAGGGAGTTGTCCACAGCATGGAGACTGACAAACAAATAGGTTTATAATCTTATCCAGTAAATGTATTGCCCCACAAGTGCAAAGAAGACTCAAAACGCTTTATTTCAATGTGTATTAAAAAACCCAAAATAAAAAAAAAAGATTAACTAGATTAAATAGTTTCTGGGAATAGCACCTAGAATATGGGGAACTTTGACTTTGGAAAGCCAAATGCCATTAATAGAGCAGGCAAGCCAGCTTAGCTGAAGCAGCATGACCACCACCTGCCCTTCCCCCATGATGGAGACAGCCTAGGACTCTGAGCCCAAGAGTCCCAGGATTAGCAGCATTCCTGATGACAGTACAAGTACTGCTTCCATTCTGCTCCTCCCACCCCCACTGCCTCCACTTTCCCATCCTTCAATGAGGGGTTGTGAAGAAGAGCCCAACAATCTTTGCCACCATCAACACCAATGGATGCTCAACTGCCATAAATAGAGAAATATGCCCAAGAAGTCATGGAGCAGTAATGCATCCCACACCACTGACCCTGCTCCTAGCCCAGCCCCCACATTGTCCAGGAAACCAGTCTTAGTGGAGATGCAGCCTGGTGATGAAGGTCAGCTAGCTGGCACAGTGAATGGAGTTCCACACCTGAAGTCAGAAAGACTCATCTTCCTAAGTTCAAATGTGACCTCAGACACAGGTCAGCTTTGTGACCCTGGCCAACTCATTTACCTCAATTTCTCCAACTCTAAAAGAAGCTGAAGAAAGAAATGGCAAACCACTCTAGTATCTAGGCCATGAATATCCCAAGTAGGGTCACCAAGAGTTGCGCATGACTGAAATGACTCCACAAGAGCAACAAACCTAGTGGCTGCTTCTATAGGAGCTTTACTCCCTGCCTCCTCAATGACCACAGCTACTAAGGACCCCAAAAAGTGCTGTCAGATTGTTCACTATCAGATATGGATTTGTTCTGTATTAGTAGTAATAACACTAAAGAGGAAGCATTATCATCTGCTTTGCTCTATTCTCCCCACCCCTCCATCTCATAGGACCATGAGGACTCTATGTTGGACTTACAACTGAAATGTCCCATGTGCATTGTCTCCCCTACTAAAATGCTCCTGGAGATCAAAGGGCGGTCGTGCTTTACTATTTATACCCAGAACATAGCACAGTAGTTGCTTCTAATAGCTGCTTAACAAATGCTTTGACACCCTTTCATTGATTCATTATGTTTTTTAACCTGCTTTTCTGTTTTGACTACAGATTCAGACTTAAGCCCATTTAGCAACTATTAGATGGCAGTTTTCATGTTTTATGGTTAAGTGAATCATTTTGTCACAAAACATTCAATATCTGATTGCAATTAAAAAAAAATGAAACAACTGATTTTTACAGGACATTAAACTCCTGCCTATTCACACACAGATGAATAAGGATGCCAATGAATCACTGAAAAAGTTCAACATGTAAACCATAAAGGGACCACAGACTTACCTAACATATCACTGTAAAACTGATCCCATTCCTTCATATAAAAATTCTGAAACCAAAAGTCAAAGGAAATGAAATAAAGCATATTTTTCACCCGCTGCATAAATGTCATCTGGTCAGTCAATGCTGTCAGGGGTAGAGGCACGTAGGAAGGAGGGGAGATGAGTCCACCACAGTGTCTTTCAAGGGCATTGCCCGCACTGAAGCGTAGACTATAGATAAAGGGTATTCCAAGCATTTCTGCCACGAGCTCAGCACAAGGCCATATAGCGTCTGAAATAACAACTTCATATCTGGCATCTTTCAATGTCCTCATAAGGTCTTTGTTCAGAACAACACCCTCACACTGCTGCTTTACCTGACTTGAATAAATCAAATGTAGTTCGTGCATGGCTGCACCATACTCAAATACTGAAAGTTTTGGCATCTCCGTAAATTGCAAATGTGATCGATTTTTCCCAAAATGAAGCCAAATCCTCTGAATTTGTCGTCACAGGAACAACCACAACATGGAAAAGTGATGAATTACCAGGATCAACAAAAACAGTGGCTGAGGGTGTCAGCACAGTCACCTCATGGCCCCTCTGTATGAGCCCATCCAGCAGGACCTTCAGATTGATCCAGTGACTATACTCCATAGGCCATGCCAGGACTTTCCCACAGGATCCACAGCTAAAGCAACAGAGCTGCAACAGCAAAAGTGGTGAAACCCATTTCTCAGACCTCATGGTTATTCCTGCTTTACAAACTACTAGGTTCTTTCCATCGTGAGTTCCTCTTTATATCACTAATGAATCAATAAAAAGGTTAAAATTTAACTGATGTCTCTAAATTCCTTATCCAAAAAAGGAACTTTGAGTGTTATAAAAGGGTATAAGGAAGCTTTGAGCAGGCAAAGAGTCAATGGATAGCATATCTTTAGTGTCAATGGAGCATGACTAATGTGGAAATATGTTTAATAGGATTGCTATACGCATAACCAATATGAGATTGCATGCTGTCTTGGGAAGAGGGAAGGGAGAGAGGGGAAAAACACTTAGAACTTTAAATCTTATAACAATGAATGTTGAAAACTAAAAATAAATGAATTTTTAAAAACTGAAAAAGAAAGTGTCAATGGAGGATACTTAGATGGTTGCAAAGTCCCCAGTTTGTACAAAATTCTGTGTTCCTGTTGTTTATTGCTACTATAAGCAGGGACTACTTAGAATACTTATTTTGCTTACTGTTTAAGTATTAACAGTATTTAAATATTAACCCTATTTTCTTCCTTAAAGTCATGCAGATTTTATTCTGAAATGTATCCTAAACGTCATTGCCATTAGATTTCAGGATGAGCTGTCTCACCAGCATTGTCCTCCCAGAAGTAGCTGAGAAAATTGAGGCAATAACTTCCAGTGTCAACTGCACCAGAACCATCTTCAACCTGTGGACAAGAGCTGAAGAGAGCCGGCTAAAGAGAGGAGAGTCAGGATGTAAGGGAAGTGTAATTTTAAAGTGAGTTAGTTGGGAGGGCCATGAGGAAGTGTGAAGAGATCTCAGTACTTATACCAATGGTTGTACAGTGATCTTTAGCCGTGACAATGAGGGGTAAAGACAAAAACGCGACAAGTTTGATTCACAGCAGGGCTTCATGACCAGAACTAGTCCAAGCTCAGAGAACAGCTGGTGCTGGTCAAAGCAAGACAAGAAATGTATGATTTCATCAGAGTGAGATCCTCCAGAGAGGGAGTGCAAAGGATTGTTGTTCTGCCAAGCTCAGGGCACAGCTTGTCTGCTGGGCCTTAGCTCTAGGAAACAGGGTGTCTCCTAATATCTCGACACCAGTACATCCCTCAGCTCATCTTGTTGAGTTCCTTGTGGTTGGGACCTGAAGGAGTCCAACTTCTGATCCTACCTGAGGAGCTCCTGTTGGAAGATGTCCCTCATCCTCTCCAATCCTTGTGACTTTTCAAACCAGGGTCTGATGTTCTTCCCTGTGTATATCTAGGTGCACACGGTCTTGGGTTCATGGACAACTGAGTATAACATGGCATATGACAGGTTCAGTGACTGAAAGAATTGGGAACAGCCTCTTCTAGCAGGACTTGATATTCTGGCAGGAATTCCTGCCATTTGGCTTTGTGTTACTGAGCTTTCAGATACTTTTCAATGACCTCAAATGGCATCTGGCCTCACTTAGGCATGAGGTGGTGTCTATAACTGTCTCTCATGTTGTTGGACATATTCACACTAGCTCATATTTCTTGTTCCACTGGTTTACCACTACTGTGAAGGCATTCTATGCAGAACTCCTTTTGGGTTGCATGGGTAAAGAGGTGAGGTGATGTTTTTAGTACTACAATATGAGAAGGAGTCTGACAAAGACATTCTACTAATGCATGCCTACACAGAAGGACCTCAAGAGTTTGACTCAAGGGCAGCTAGGGGCACAGTGGTTACAGCACTGGCCCTAGAGTCAAGAGGAGCTAAGTTCAAATCTGGCCCCAGACAGATAACACTTATTAGCTGTGTGATCCTGTGCAAGTCACTTAACCCCACTGCCTAGCAAAAAAAAAAAATTGACTGAACCATTCTAATAACCACCTTCTGTCTGTGGATGGTACAGGCAAGTGTGATAACACCAAGGATTTGAACACAAAAGGAATCTCCAGTATGACTTAGCCAATGAGTCATCACACAGCCTCTCCTTTAACACACTCCAAAAGAGGGAATACACTACCTCTTCTTTTCTGAACAATACATTTTGTTAATAAAATAAAATTTGTATTCAGAAGAACATTATAGATCGAAAGACCTATTTACAATATTTGCTTCATTTTTTGATTTAAGGTCTACTAATGTGTCCAACACTGCATGAGAATTGTGACAAGATATTATGTGTACAGGAAAGTACAAAGGACCCCTTCAGAACACAGTAACATCCTGTCTCCCAACCCAATCTGATTAATACCAAAAGCCAAAGATAGATGTTATCCCACAGCTAAAATGAGATCAGGAAGTACTTTGAACCGTTTGTTTTTTCTGTCTTCAGTAAGGCATTTTCCAGTCTGTAGCATAGAATGTAAATCTAAAGTCAGCTCTGCGCATGGCAACTCTGTGCATTGCCTGTTATTTTCTTCAGTCAAGCAGAAATGCTAAGCAGTGTAGGCCATTACTTATGCCAACTTTCATACAATATGGCCTAAGAGATATTTTGAAATACCCTACCTAGGAATGGTATAAACACATGGGAGAAAAAACAGATATGTTTAAGTAGACCAAGAATTTTAAGGTTAGTCCAGTTTTCAACTGCAAGATCATTGGGGAAAAGAGGAGGTGAAACCGTTCGGCACATCTAACGCTGAAGTTCTTATATACTTTTTGGTTGCTGTGATCTCTTTTTAAATGCTGATTCAAGTGTATAACTGCATGTAGACATGAAATTTTATATCATAAAGTGAATTATAAGCTAGTAAATGCTCATTTTAAATCCAACATGTACAAAAAGTTTAGAAGCAAGAGACCCTGGAGTTCAAGTGCAGGCTCGTGTGCTACAGTAGTGTATAGTAGATTCTACAACACCGCTCTCCATCCTCTGCACCTATCATTTCATCTTCTATATTTTTTCTAAGCACTGAGTCTACATCTTGCTAGAATACTCAAACACATGTGAAGTGTAATATTAGGAGATTAGTTACCTAGGAATACTGAATTAGGCATTTCCAAGTGTTTTGTTATATTGATAGATTCCAGGGCTTCATATGCAATCATGAACTATCCCCCTTCCTTCCACAAGTACTGTAGGGACAAAGTCAAAGGTATTCAATAAAATATTTTGTGGTCAGCGATAGTGGGGTGAGGGGAGAGCATAAAAACTACAATGTAACCTTGCAATTATATTACTTCTGCTTCCAAAAGGAATTTAATCTTATCTTAATTTGACTCCACTACAAAAAAATGTTCATCAAGACTGAAACCTGAAGTTGTTTAACCATCAGCTCCCCAAGATTACTAAAATTTAACAAGGAGATTAGAGTTAGAAAATCATGCCAGTGAATCCTTCATCAGTTTTCAGCCTCCATTTCAAAATCTTGCTTCAGACTTTTCAAATAAGCATGCACATTTCCAAAACCATGCTACTTGGCCAAATACACCAGCACACCAGTGACACATCGTCCATCTCCCTGCCTACAAAATCTTCAGTTGCATATTACATGACAAGGCAGGCAATGACAATTTGGGTCCAGCAATGCTATTTTGACCTCTTCACATTTTGGCTTTTGAAGACAGTGGCCACAGAACTGTCCTCGAACTCCAAACCATTCTGGGTTTCTACAGTTTGTCTTGGTGTCGATACTTTTCTGGTGACATTGGTGGCAGATGGAACATAATGAACAGTTGTAGATCTTGTCCCTGCCGGAGATGCACATGTTTTCCAACTCTTCTTCTCTAATCTCTTCCACTGGACGAACAATAGGAAGAAGGATCATGGCACCTGACCACCACTTCTAGGTGTGGAATCATCATCCGTATATCCATCGATGCTCTTTTTTTTCTCACTAACATGTACTTGTCCTCAAAATCTATTTCATCTTCTCAGTGCAGATCTGAGAGTCCTTCAAGCAGAGATCTTCACCTGGGATGTGCAGGAGCTCTTCGTTCAAGGTTTCTCCTTGAGGGGTCTCTGGGAAGGAGCGCCTTCAATTTGGTTTTTACTGTTCACTACTACCTGGAAGTGTTCTCCTTTCATTGAACAATCCCGGGAAACTTTGTAATTCTGACATTAGTTTTGCCGGCATTGCTTTGTTTTTCTTTATATTTAGTGCCTTCTTTTCCAAAAAAAACTGGAGCCTCTCTCATTTTCTGAGACAGAATCAGAATTGGAAGTGGGAACTCTGGGCCTTTGGGCCAGGCCGCTTTCTTCTTCCTGACCCCTTTGAGCTCTGAAGTTGGAAATTTTAGAGCTACTTGCAAAGAACCCAAACAGTTCATTTGACTGCAAGTCCTACTGCCTTCACCATCAGAATCGAATTTCATTCTGTCTTGTATCTCACTTTATGAGAAGCCCTAGAATGATTATCGTCAGAGTTGGCATAAAAAACAGTGGCTACTTCCTTAGTGATATCTGGCTTGAGTCTGGGTTTGTGTAAAATTCCCCGATCCCCTCTCAGGTCTTGTACCTCACTTTGTGGAAGGCTGCAGAAAGATTCCTTATGAGAGTTCTCATAAAAAATATTCACTGAGAGCCAACATGGCATAGTGAAAGCAATAACTTGCTTGAGTTCTCCCTCAAACCCCTCCAATACCTATGAAAAAGGTCTCTAAACCAATTCTAAAGAAGCAGAACCCACAGAAAGACAGTGAAACAAATTTCTAGCACAAGACAACGTGGATGGTTGGTCAGAAAAGTATACTGCGCTAAGCTGGTAGAGGAGCACAGTTCGGCATGAGCGCGCAGGCCACAGCCAACCTGGAGCAGGCCTCAGAGGATTGAATTGTGGGCAGCTGTGGTGTTTTCCAGACTTCTCATCCCAGAAACACCAAAGACAACCTAGAAGGTCAGTGGGAAAAGTCTGTTTCTGTGGTGAGACAGAAGCCAGGCTCTCAGTGCCATTCCCCATGGTTGGCCCTGGGGAGCCAGCTGCCTCCTGAGCTTCTGGCCAACAGACTGAGGGGGGGGGCTGATCAGAGAGGGATTGCCAGTGCTGAGGCAGGAATCTCTTGCTTTGCCCATTCTTGGATCTGGGTCACAGTTCTGGGTGGCAGTCCTAGGGTGAGGAG